TTCATTAAATCAGGAATGCAGCGCTGCATTCTTGCACGGGAGGGAGGATGGGGAGGATGCTGGGCTGGGGAGGAGCAGGACTCCCAGGGAGAGCTGATACATCAGGGTGTCCTCCTTCAGCCTGGCTTGTTCTTGGGGTTTTTGTGCACCTCTCAGTAGGCATGATAATGACCTGGAGTCCTCAGGCTTGGCATCTGGGCCTTCCCAGAGTCATCTCTCTAACCTAATTAACACAACAGAGACAAATAGGGCCTGTGGGATGTGGGTAACGAATGACTTCACTACCGTGGAACTGCTCTGTCATCCTTTTCCCCTTTCTGTCCCAGTATCCATGTGTGGTGGGATGGCCTAGAGTATATCACCACGCTTGCTGTTGCCATCTTTCCCTCGTGGCTGAGGAATAATTCACGTATTTCCCTAAACACCTCTGGACACAGGATCATTCCTGAGCAAGAAGGGAAGACTCACCCCACAGCTTGTTATAGCCGTGCAGGTTCCCTACCCTCTTTACAGACGGCAGCTAAACACGGTGGTGCTGGCAGAAGCAATACAGGCTTTACCCAACACTGCTGCGTCATCAGGAGCAGCCCCAGTCCCGCTGCAGGAGACCGTAGGGGAGCGAGTGCCCTGCCCTGGGACTGCTGAAGCCCAGGGAGGGACTGGGTGCCGTGCTCGTGTTATCCCACTCCTGTCACTTGCTATGCAGCTGCTTCCTAAATGAGCTCCTATTTACTTTTTAAGAAAAGCTTTGCAGAGAGACGCTTATCAGCTTGACAGCTGACAAGGGACAGAGATGAGTCAAAGAGATGGACCAAATCCATCTCTCTCACCAACTGGGACTTCTATCAGCCTTTTCAAGGCAGCGTTATCTGATCTTAATGGACTTAGAGAAGCAAGGGTTGGGGCTGGCATAGCCCCCCAGCTGCCCTATCTTACAGGCATAAGTGAAGAGGCAGGTACAAGATACAGTCTCTGTGATACTAAAACCTCTTCTTCTCCTTGTCAAAATAGCAAAACAATTTCTACATCACCTTGTGTGCTACAGCACTTAAATTCCCACCACTAAAATTGTCAGGATTTCTGTACAGCAGTTTTAACAGTGCTGTTAAGTACTGTCTTGTATATGTATGTGACATGTCAAGCAACGTGGTAAACACAAGTGTAATCATATTAAAATTACAGCTGCAATTAGTACAATGCAGTAAAGACCATAGAGAAGGAAACAGGACTTTTTGGTGATTGTCCTCTTTGTGTCCGGTGTTACTGGTATTTTACGTAAGACTTCCCGTTAGTGTGGTGTGTGGACCAATTCTAGCTAGCACCAGGTGTGGTTTCTCTCACTTGGGGTGGGAGCTGAAGGAGGTGGTGATAGGGGGTTGTTTTCCTTGCTTGTTTTTTAAAAGCTTGCAAAGGAAGTATTTGTTGTATCTGCCCCTGTAAGGAACTGGAATGCTCTGGGAGAATGTCTGCAAGGTAGCTCAGAGCCCCCTTGAATACCTGCTGTAACACTGGCCTCTGCCAGTCCTTCGTCTGCTGTACAGACACGAGTGCAGGCTCTCATTTGGTTGTAAATCTCTATTAGAAAAATTTCACCTCTGTTCTCCCCTTCCTTTTTTTTCTGTTTGACATCAGAAAGCAACAGCCAAAGCTGGGAAGTCTGGGCTGGTCTTCAGGGGCAGAAGGTTATTTTGTGAAGGGTTTCAGGTTTTGTTTTTTGTTTTTGTTTTTTCTTTTTCTTTTTCCCCCTTCCCCCCTCACCCCTTTCATGTCTAAGGAACAAGCTCTTCAACTTGGCGCTTATGTCACCTGTCCAAACACTCTCCTGGACAAGACCAAAGAGTAGAGGGACTGGTCAGGTGAATGTGCTCAGCTGGCATTGCTGCTGAAGCCTGAAACACCCGTCAGTTCTTTTTTTCAAGAGACTTGAGAAGACTCAGGGGAAAATATTTCGCTAGCTGAGCTGTTTGGATTTGATAATTGGTAAGCAGTGTTACAAAACACTGGCTTTGAAAGCAGCACAAAGCTCTTTCAAAATGATGTGCTCTTCAGGCTGTCTCTTGTTCACCCTCACCTGGGTGGAGAGCAAGTCCTGGTCCTTTGAGGCAGGCCAGGTTTCCCTTCTTTTCATTCATTTTTTTGCTCTATGAAAGAAGATGGGTGTGAACAGGAGATGCCAGACCTTCTGAGGAGGGCATTTGGGTTTGGTCTTCATCCTTTTCACCATTTCAGAGGATCCCATTCATATGTAGAGGATGAAACCTGTCAAATACCTGACTGTCCACTTGCTTATGCCACGTTGGACCATGGTGCTACATGATGGCAGAGTGGAAGTTTGGGTAGGGCTTGCTTGTTTAATAATAATAATAAAAACTGAGTCCGCTAAACTGACAGTACAATTAGCTTGGTAAGATTGTGTTTCCCTTCTGTAAGTGACTTCTTGCTTATAAAGCAAGAATTCTGCATTTCTGGCTAAGGTGTTTGGGAAACTTTAGCTCAGCATCTCTTGAATCAAGGCGTAGCTGACCTTCCTTCCATACTGTCTGGAGTACCACATGTACTTAAGAGACTTAGTGCCCTCTCTTTTCCCTGCCCTGTCTATTCCCTGGTCAGCTTTGTTTTAAAGCATATTGCTTGGAAACAACTTGTATAGTCATCTAAGTATTTCATGGATAAGAATTTCTAATTCTTTAACATTAAATGCCTTTTTTTCTTGTCTTTTAGATAATGAGTATGTTTTTATAGACCTGGAGCAGAAGCTTAGCAAATACTTTTCAAAGGAGTGGAAGAAAGAGACCACCAAAGTAAGACATGTTTAATTTCAGAGGCTACTGCTTTGGTATTGGACTACACAGTGAAATGAAAGCTCTTAAACTAAGGTCCATAAAGCATTTCGTGAAGATGGTCTGCAGAATGCTGTTCAGTAGCAAGATGCAGTGACCTGTGTACAGCTGTACAATTAATTAAAAGAGCTAAACCAGGCCCTTACATGACTTTACCTGAGCAACAGTAGTCACATGGTTGCTGCTTAGCTGCTACAGGAGTGCAGAAGGTCAGTTGGTCAGTCTTCCTTTTGAACTTAGCCAAGCCTGTGAAGAGTCTGGAGACCTTATTGTTATCCTTAACAGAATAGCCTAAAATGCCCTTTTGTGACTTGAACGTGGTATGAAGGAGAGGGCTGGAGCTGTGACTCTTCCAGAGTACACGGAGCGAGAGGAAGGATATTTTGGTCGAGAAGAGTCTTAGTTCTTTAAGGCTAGCCAGCCCTGTCGAGGGAGGGAAAAGCTACATGAAAAAAAGACAAGCCTATGTAATTGTTTAGTGCCGGTCATTTAGACATGATAATACCTGTTTGTGTGTGTCATTATTAGAGGAGCCGCAGTCTAGAACAAAGTGTAGTATGCAATTATATTCAGATATCTTAATTAGCTCATTATGACTTTTTCCACCTTCCTTAAGGGTTTTCTTTTGCAGAGTAGGCACGCTTGCCATTTCTGCTGCTTAGAGAAGCTTGCAGATGACTAGTGAAGTTCAGGTTCCCATACGGCTTCTCCCAAACAAGTGAGGGTTACTTCAAAGACAGCTGCCAGTGTTGTGGAGGGCTGTCTGTCCAGCCAGTGAGGGTTTCCTGAGGCAGGTGTTTCTGGTCACCTCGGGATGGGGTACGCTTTGTGGTTGCTTTGAGGTTGGATTCTTGCAACATTTGAAGTCAGGATAAGTGTCGAACCTCTGGTGTGAGGTGAATCATAAAAGGCTGAATGAGTTGCCATTGGCAGTACTGAAGTCTGAGAGGAGTTAGGCTATCGGACTGGGTTAGCGGACAGGGGTTTAATTCCTGTGAAGAGGTTTCAGGTGGAAAGGCCAGTCTAGCTGATAAAATAGGGTGACTATGACCAAGTTCCAGAAGTAAAATGTAAACATTTGCATGATGATCAAGAAGTTGCTGTCTGCATCAGATGTGCATGGCATGCCACATGCCTTGTCCCAGTGAGATGGGTCTGACCAGCAAAGCCTTGGAACTGCCTGTGCGAGCAAAGTTACCTGTATGAACATTAAAGGAGTGGCAAAGTAGGAAAGATGAGAGAATGAGCTAGTAAGAGATGATGTTCCTTCCCCCACCCCTTCTTTTTTTTTTTTTTCTTGTTTCTCCTGTTTAAACAAGCCTGTAAGTCTGAAAGGTAGGCTGTAGTTAAAACAACAACAGAACTCTTGCTGGCTTTCTTCTAACAGACACCTTCAGTGTGAAGCAGACATCAATGTCTCCTTTTGGTCTGTGGCTGCAGGAAGGTGTGAATAACTAAACATGAGCCCTGCCAAACAAAAGGCAAGGAGTTAATATCAGGCTGGTGCGCCTCAGCCTCGGGCAGTAAATGCTGAATGCAGCAGCAGCGCGTGTGTCCCTGCTGAGTGATGTGGTGCGGCGCAGAGGTAGCTAGTTACTCCTAGGTGTGCCCTGGAAACGCGGCAGCCGTGCTAGCGTGGCACGCTGCCCTGCTGCCTTGCCTGGTGCTTTGAGGGAGGCCGTGTAAAACTTGCTGCGTTCAGCGCTAATGCATCTGCGGCGCTGCCAGGTGCTGAGCTAGGTAACTCTGGGCCAGGCTGGGCATCCCCAGGCTACGCCGGGACTCTTTTATACCTGCTCATCCCCTCCCCATCCAAAATCTGCCCTCCCTAGGGACGTTTTGCCATTCAGCCTGTCTAAATGCTTTATGATGCCTCATTGTTGTGAGTCTCCGAGACTGTCAGATCACCCCCAAAACTTGCCAAGAGCTAAGAGTAGAAAATGAAAAGCAGTATGGGGAGCAAGCTTGGGAGAGCAGAATGTTACCAGACGGGGTAACGGGAATATTGGATGCTGGATGTTATTTAACTTGTCTTCTGTCTCTGCTCTAGGGAACAGAGAAATTCAGCCCTCCTTTTGTTGCGTTCTTTAGAGTACAATACTACGTAGAAAATGGAAGAGTAATAAGGTAAGTTCCATTCTGTGGTAGTTACTGTATTTTGAATTATTCACTGTGTTCTTAAAGGCAGGAAAAATAATGCTTCTTTGTTAAGCTCATCTCTGTGAGCTCAGAGAAATAAGCTTAAAAAATCCACTTGATTTTTTTTTTTTGAAGACCTTCACAGACTTCCTCATCCAGCCATGAATGTTTTCCCCTTGAATCACACTCCTTATCCCTAGGAAAACTGTGACTACTTTTCTGTCTGTATTTAGAGAGCAAGTTGAATGATCACAGTATCAAGATATATTTAACACTCTTTTGCTTGCATCTTTTGGTTGTATGAAAAGCATCAGATGAATATACTAACAATAGCTATTTATATTCCAGAGCACAGGCTAATAATTTTGGATCTGTTTTTTTGTATCTGAGCAGTGCTCTGTGCAGTCTTCTCCTGGAAATGGAATTTTGTAAGTGGACAAAAGAAATTACTTCATAAGTTAGAGAGTTTTGCATTTGTAGTCCGTTCACATGGAATATGGGCTGCACTCAAAACATCACCACCCTCACCCACGGTACAGAACAAAGGATGAGGTAGTTAAAAATGAACAACTGACAGATTGAATTTGCATCAGCACTTCTGGCATGGCTGTGACCCCGGGGCAAGCCAAGAGCTGGGATCATTTGGGTGGATTAAAATCTTTACCAAATTTTTGGCATTTGTTCTCGTCTTGAACAAAGCTTGGTGGTTTTTTGTTTTTCTCTCTCCATAGTCTTTCATTTTGCATATAGGGGAGTCTTTCTTCTGGAGTCTGTTTGACTATTAAGTGGTTTGTATTTAGTTTTGCTTTTAGGTACAAAGGGAGATTGCATATCATTCTACCACCCCCAATGTACATATCCTGTAGCGTCACAAGCAACTTTCTCTTGCGCTAGTAATTTAATTGGAGAGGTTTGTGGAGCCACACAGGGGTAGTTAACGTGGCCCCTTCAAACTACACACACACACACTTCTATGAGTAGACTGTAGTGTCCAGCACCTCATCTACACATACATGTCAGCAGCCTGCTTCCCATGAGCTCTTACAGCAGGGGGTGTGTGGGTTATCAGTGCTACGTGATAGTTATGCCTTATCAGACTATCAGGTTTAGCGGCTTGAGGAAGAAGACAAAAACAAGCCCAAGGCTCCTGTGTCTTTTGATCTACCTTGCAGGGAATTAGCTGTTGAAAAGTACCTTGAGCCTAAGGCAAGGTGAAATGAAAAAGCAGTGCCAAGTTTAGAGGGGAAAAGAGGACAGGTGTGCAAGAAACAGAACTGGGATTCAAGGGAGTTGACTCTCCTGGCTGCTACAGGCTTTCCAGAGAAACAGAAGTGCTTGATGTAGTCAGTCTCCAAAACAGGTGTGACATGATTTTTCTTTCATCTACCTTCTGCCCTAACTTCTTAGATCTCATGCTCCTCAAGACAGAAGCTACCATTTCCCATGTTTGTACAACACTTAGTGGGAGGAAACCTTGATCTTGGCTTGGTGCTCCCTACACATACGTAACTGTAACAAGGTGGCATTGGCACATATCAGGGATGTCAAAGTTAATCCCTCTTCTCAGAAGAAAGATGTGTTTGAGGGGCCTTATCTGAGCCTGAACTTTCTTCAAGTAAATTTGCCTTTGTGTCTTGCAGTGATAAGGTGGCACGGCAGCTCTACTACTGCCATCTCAAAGAGCAAGTACTTATGTCTCGGTGCAACCACAAAGAAGAAATATACTTCTTGCTGGCTGCCTACAGCTTACAGGCAGACTTGGGCAACTACAGGGAGAAGGTCCATGCTGGCAAATATTTTGAACCTCAGGCTTATTTCCCGCAATGGGTAAGTTTCAGGGGATCTTTCTGTCAACAGATTGCGCATGCAGCAGGAGCTATGTCAGGGTGGTACCTA